TCACGCCGGCGGCCCCAGCTTGCACGGCGCGGCCCGCCCGTCTGGGAGCGGCCGGGCGGCGCCGCCGCTGTTTTTCCACGCGGCGCGGGAGGCGGCGGGCCGCGCGGCCTGCCGGGAGCAGAGCCCGGAGGGGCCGACGGCACGGCGGCCGCCCAGGGAATGCTCCAAGGCATCAGGCTACAGTCCTCCTTTTTCTCCTCTTCTCCCCGCTCTCCCCTCCTTCTCCTCCTCCGCCTCCTCCTCCTCCTCCTCCTCCTCCTCCTCTTCCGCCTCCTCTTCTCCCTCCTCTCCCCTCCTCCTCCTCCTCCTCCTCCTCCTCCTCCTCCTCCTCCCTCCTCCTCCTACTTCTCCTCCTCCTCCTCCTCCTCCTCCTCCTACTTCTCCTCCTCCTCCTCCTCCTCCTCCTCCTCCTCCTCCTCCTCCATCTACTCCTTCTCCCTTCCGAGGGCCACGTCGCTACGGGAGCGTGGGAGGCAGGGGTCGCGAGGCACGGGACACAAGGGTGGCCCTTGATCTAGCAGGGTCGACCTGCTAAGCTGGGCCGACTGCACGGCGGCCGCCCAGAGCCGGAGACCGACCGTGGCCTCGGGGGCGTACATCAAGGGCTCCTAAGTTCGCGCTTCGCGCTGCGCGAAGCGCGAAGCGCGAATAACTTCGCGCCCTCGCGCCGCCCCCCCAAGGGGGAGAAGAGGAGGACGAGGAGGAGGGGGAGGAGGAAGGAGGACGGCGAAGCGCGAAGCGCGAATAACTTCGCGCCCTCCTGGGAGCCCTTGGTACATAGGCCACCCGAGCATTTCTGCGTCGGCGGCTGGGCAGAGCAACTGCGCTGGCGATGCGCCAGCTACACGGGGGCGTGCCCTTGCAGCGAGCTGTGCCACCATGCAGGAGGAGGTGGAGAGGGCAGAGGACGCGGTCAACCAGGGGGGAGGACGCCACCGAAGCACGTACACGGGCACTTCGGCCCCCGACCCCGAGAGAGAGAGAGAGAGAGAGACCAAATCCGACCGGACGCGAGTCGAGCGAACGAGGCCGAGGAGGCGCAGCGACGCAGCAGCGACCCGGCAGCCGACCGAGCCGTGCAGAACGAGTGCGCCCGACTGCGACGCGGCTGGCTCGACCGAACACCCCTGGGATTCCCACTGGCCCTTCAGGGCGCGAGAATGATTTAGAGCGCGTCCTCTTCCAACCCACTGTTCCATGTGGTAAAAGCACTCCCTCTCCCAGGCGACGGGCAGCCAAGCGGGACCAGTGAGGGCTCCCCCCACCATCCCTGTCAACGAAGCAATGTGAAGGCCACTGTGGAGCAAAATCTCGGGTCATGATCGGGGGGGCCATGAGCATTCTGTCTTGTTTTTTTTGGCAGGGACGGCGGAGGGGTCCGCATATTGCCTGCTGCGCGCAGGGCCAGCATCCCTGTCAACACTCAGTGCGACATGCAACTGTCCCGCCCAAGTGTCCCGCCCAGCCGTGGAGACGAGGGCCCCCGCCCCCGCCCCCCCCCCGAAGGCCAACCTTTCAAGTCGGGCCTGTCCCCCTACAGGACGATCTTGGAGGAAAAATCCGCCGGCCCCCTTGCGGGGCCATCAAGCTGCGAGGATTAAGGCTGCTGCTCCCTGCACCAGTACTGCTTTCTGCTTCCTACTGTATCTTGTTACTGTCCGCGCGAGGAGGGGGAGCCGAAAAGGGCCCTGGCTAACGTCCCCCAGGAAGGTTCTCAGAATTTGTTGGGGGGCCTGGGACACGTAAAAATACGGGAGATCCGTGCCCCCGAGGCTATAATCCTTTGTAAATTACGCAAAGTTCGCGCCGCGATGCCAGAGTCCTTCGTAAATTACGCCGCATTCGCGCCCCCGAGGCCACGATCCCTGGTAAATTACGCCACGCCCAAACAGGCCTGAGAGCCGCCAGGATGCCGCGCGGCACCCGCGATACGCAGGGTTCACCCTGTCAGCCCACAGGAGGTTCAGCCCAACCAGGGTAGGGGCGTGTTTTACGCCATTGACAAAAGGCCCTCAGCGGACTACAACCTGTGCCCTCCTCTGACTACAACGCCCGCCCGACAGGAAAACCCCCCCCTGACAAAAAGAAACCGCGTGCCTGAAAGACCCGCCGCTGTTGCCTCAACTCGCCCTCGTCAGACTGAAAAAGACCACTCTTTGAGCAGCATCCCGGCAGTCCTATAGTCCTACCACGGCATGTTCTTAGAACCCAAAATGTTCTAGAACAAAAACAGTGTCCTCATAAAATGACACCCGATGTGTTCAAACAAGACAGGCCCAGCCAGAAATGCTCTAAGGACATTTCGCGGAAGCCACAAAATGACTACCTACCAAACCACCCCAACCCAACCCGAAGACCCGAATTTGACCCGAACTTCGGGTTTGGGGGGGGATACGAGTTCCACGCGTTTTTTCGATGTCCCCCGACCCCCCCCCACTGGAAATGGAAGGCAAATCGTGGCCTTCGGGTTGGGTTGGGGTGGTTTGGTGGGCGGATATTAAAGGTTCTTAGACCATTGTTTGGTAGGGCTATGGGCACGCCGGGACGCTTCGCCACTGCCTGAACTGTCGGCGTAGGCAAAGGACGCGCTCCTGCCGCGTGCAGGTCCGCCATCAGCCCCGCGGCGGCCAGGTGCAGCCACCCCAGCAGCGCCAGGCCGAGCACCGGCCGCGCCTGCCGGCGCGCGCGCGGGCCCCAGATATGCACATACATACATACATACACACATACATACATACATACGTGCATGCATGCATGCATGCATACATACATACATACAAACATACATACATACATGCATACATACATACATACATACACACATACATACATACATACATACATACATACATACAGGCAGACAGACAGACAGACAGACAGATACATACATACATACATACATACATACAGACAGACAGACAGACAGACAGACAGACAGACAGACAGACAGACAGACAGACAGACACACACACACACACATACATACATACATACATACATACATACATACATACATACACAACTACATGCATACATACATACCTACATGCATACATACATACATGTAAGCATGTATGCATACATGCATGCATGCATGCATGCATATATACATACATGCATACATACATACGTACAAGCATACATACATGCATACATGCATGCACATACATATATACGAGGTCGGCCATGTGTCCCTACAGGCGGATATTAGGGGAAAAACGAAAACTGACCCCAAAGATACCATAACGAAAACTTCTACCAAATCAAACATTCAAGCCATCGCCAGAAATACGGAAGACACAGTCCCCGAACTATTTGTTATGCTACTTTTCACTACTCCACCTGTATCGGGCGTTGGTAGAACTGGGTTTAGTGGAACCTGGTTTAGTGATTTGTACCGGGGGCGCCCCCCCGCCCCATTCCACTAACCGCAACTGCCGTCGCCCGAAACAAACACCTGCTACGGTAGACCTGGTTTCGTGAATCTGGCCAATTGAGGGGCCCCAAGGCCCTACCACTGATCGGGTCCCCTTACCCGGGGTCCTGGATATACCCGACTGTAAAGTGACAGGCCCGACTCAACCCTGGCACCGAGGCGCGCGTGCGGGACCTGGCATGAGGTCGGCCATGTCCCCCCACAGGCGGGCTTCGGTGAAAAATTCAAAATACCCCCAACATACGAAAGAGAAAAATTCCCACAAATAAAAAATTAAAACAGAAACCAGAGATACTGAAGACATAGTCCCCAGACTATTTTTCATGCTATCTTTGAATATTCCTCCTGTAGAGGGACAAGCCCGGGACTTCACCACCGGGCTCCTGTCCAAGGTGTACCTTTTCCTGCACGTCAATTTCGGCACCGCCTGATCCCTGGGCCTCGCCCTCTCCCGGCCGCGTAAGGCCCCGCCTTCTTCCGCCCTTTCTCTGCTAATTAAAGCTGTGCGCGTCCCGCTTAACTTTCAGCGGAAGAGGTTCGCTCTCGCCCTGCAGATCAACAAAAACTGTAGAGGGACAGGCCCGACTTAGCCCTGGCCGAAGGCCCGCCGCCGACCGCCGCCGCGGACCTCGGCGGCACTCGGCGGCCCTCCGCGGCCCCGCGTGGCCCTCGGAGGCCCTCGGAGGCCGCCGGCGTCGCCGTCCTCGCCGCCGCCCCCACTGGGGGAGGAGGAGGAGGAGCAGGAGGAGGAGGAGGAGGAGGAGGAGGAGGAGGAGGAGGAGGAAGTAGGCGGAGGAGGAGGACAGGAGGAGGCGAGGAGGAGGAGGAGGAGGAGGAGGAGGAGGAGGAAAGGAGTAGGAGGAGGAGGCGGAGGAGGAGGAGGGAGGATGAGGTGCGAGGAGGAGTAGGAGGAGGAGGAGGAGGAGGAGGAGGAGGAGGAGGAGGAGGAGGAGGAGGAGGTGGAGGAGGGGAGGCCCAGCGCGGCGAAACATCGGAATCGAGGCAAGGGGAGCGGTATCGTCCGTACCTTTTTCTCCTCTGAGCCACCGTTGCCGCCACCGTCGTCGGCTTTGCAGTCGCTTTCGCAGTTTCCGCCGCCATCGCCGCCGCCGTCGCCGTCGCCAGGCACTAGGCCGAAGCCTGCAGCACGAGCGCGGGCCCCAGGCCGAATCCGAAGATGCGCCAGCGGTGCCGGCGCCGGAAGGACTCCCATGACGCGAGGTCCTCCAGCGGCGCGCGCGCGCGAGGCGTCAACGCGAGGCGAGCCCCTTTCCATAGCCCCCCTGTGCCTCTTCACCCTCCTTCTCGTTGCACCTGCTGACGGCGCCAACATGAACATGACGAAACCCAATCTTACAACTGGACGCGACCTCCCGCTGCAGACACCCCTAGAACAAAAACTGGGCCGTCCAAACCCACGACACGCTCGTCAAAAGGCGCCGGCAGATCCGAGCTCCGGCGTGCCGCGCTTCCTTCCACGGCGCCTTCCTGCCATCCAAGATTGGAGGCCTGGAAATGGGCACCAACACCAACACAGGGGGTTGCCTCCACAGGAGGAAGATGATCCTAGGTTTCGGCGCTGGTGGTAATAGTTCGGCCACCTTGGAAGCCAGAGTAGTACCACCATCGCCGAGATCGGGATCCTCTCCCCTCGGTGGAGGCACAGCACCGAAAAATTGGTGTTGGTGTCAACCTCTGGGTCTGCGACACGAGCCCGCCCCCCCTCTCATCGCGAGCGGCCAAGAGGTGGGTGTCCAAGAGGGGGGGGTGCAAATCATGACCGGCGGCACGTGCGCGGCCCGGCGGGGGAGCCGGGGACGCAATGAAATGAGAAGCGGCGCCATGAAATCTGGGGAAATATCATGGCCCACGCCATGAGATCCACCCCCCCCGAGTCCCGACAGCCTGGCTAGCCCCGACATTGCCCTGGCGCGGCTCCCATGCCGCGCCTTCACGCACAACGAGTTTGGAGAATTTGTCGCCCCCTGGCTCCCAGCAGCTCCCTCAAAACAGCGGCCAGCCGAGTCACCACCCCCCTCTTTGCCGCCCCCGATCTCCCCCCGCGCCCCCCGCGCGCGCCGCCATAGGGAGGCACCCCGCGGCCCCCCGGGGGGCTCCTGGCGGACCGCCACGGGCGTCAGGCACTTGCTCACGAGCCACGCCGACGAGACGTAGACCATGGAGCCCCACAGGGCAGCGGCCCACACGTCCTCCCTGCAGATGCTCGGAGGAGGTGCGCGTGGGCGCCTGCCGCCGAGGAGCCCGCCAGCGGGCTGTCGGCGCGCACAGGGGGGGCCATGGGGGGGGGGGATCGGGAGCGGCCAAGAGGGGGGTGTCCAAGAGGGGGGGGTGCAAATCATGACCGGCGGCATGTGCGAGGCCCAGCGGGGGGTGCCAGGGACGTAATTCGCCGGCCCAACGTGCCAGGGGCGTGCTAAGATCTCCGGTAACTGGTGAACAAATTCTCTAGTTCGCGCGCGCGGGGCGGCCCTTGGGGGTCCCCGGACGAAAAGTACCCCGGGCGAGTCCCGGCTGATCTCCGGGCGACTCCACCAGAGCGCTCCATGAGCGCACCAACAGGGCGCCGAGACGTCCCCGAGAGCCCCAAGAAAGGCCAAGAGGCCCCCAAGAGGCCCCCAGGATGGTACACGAGGGGTCCGACATGCCACGAGATCGCTCCAAGACGCCCAAGATAGCCCCCAGACGCCCCAAGAGGCCTCCAAGAGCACTCCCAAGAGGGCCCCAGGAGGAAAATTCATTGTTTTTTCCGCAGATTTTTGAAAGATTTTGGAGCTTCCACCTTTTCGGCTTCCCGACGCCCCAAGACGGCCCAAGAGGCCCCTCAGATCGCCCCAAGAGGGCCCAAGAGGCCCCCAAGAGGGCCCCAAGATGGCCCAAGAGGGCTCGAAGACGGCCCAAGAAGCCTCCAAGACGGTCCAAAAGGGCCCCAAGAACGCCCCCAAAGGGGCCCCAGAGAGGGAACACGAAACAACATTTCGAGCCCTCGGCCCTAAGAAGCCCCCCACGAGGCCCCAAGAGGCCCCTAAGAGGCCCCAAGAGGCCCCACGAGGCCCTCAGGAGGCCCCCAAGAGTCCCCCAAGCGGCCCCAGGAGGCCCCCCAAATGCCCCCCCGAGCACGCAAGCAAGTGCAAGCGATGCTACAATGTGCTCTCCTTTCGGTAGACTCCCAACGGGGCCCCTACAGACTTGCAACAAGCGTCAAGAACCTGCCCAAAAAGCACTGTCCAGGAGCGTTCACAAGTGCCGCGAAGAAGCCCTCCTTACGCCGGAAAGCCCGGAAAGCCGGGTGGGGTGAGCTGTTCTTCTCACCACCGCGCCCTCTCACACAATGGCTTCCGCACGCCGCCCAGAGCGCGACGTTCGGCTCATGCCCCCAGAACGCTCCAGGAGCGCGCCAAAACGGCACCGGAACGCCCCCAAAACAATCCAAGCGGCCTCAAGTCGCCGAACAATCGTTCCAAATCGCCCAAGATAACCTCAAAATTGCCGTCGAGGCCGCCAAGAAGCCCCAAGAGAGCCTCAAGAGGCCCTCCAAGACGGCCATTACAATCAAAAATCGTCCCATTCCCAGAGGAACATAACATGTACACTTCCCGCATGAACGGCGTTTCGAGTTTCACAGCGCCTCAAACTACGCAAATAGCCCCCAACATCGCCCCAAGACAGCCCAACAATCCGCTAAAATCGGTCCCAGACGGCCCAAGATAACCCCAAGACGGCACAAGAGAGCACCAAGACCGCCCAAGAGGCGCCCAAAGAGGGATTCTGCCCCTAGGAGCACCTCAGAAGCCACCAACATCCCGCCAATAAGTCTCCCAAGACGCCCCAAGAACCACCCAAAAAGCCCAACAAGAAGCCCCAACGACCCCCAAACGGCCCTTACGGGGCCTCAAGAGGCTTCAACACTGCCTCCAAGAGGTCCCGAGACGCCTGGCAAAAGAACCCCCAAAGCGCCGCATTGACACCAGGCCCTCGGGCAAACGGCAGACATGAGACTGTATGGGCTGGCGGAATGAGCGAAGCGATTAAATGAAATAAGAGGAGGCGCCATAAAATCTGAGGAAATATCATGGCCCTCGCCATGATATCCCCCCCCTAGTCATCACCCCCCTCTTTGCCGCTCCCGAGGGGAGAGGCTGCTTGGAGGGAGGTCGCTCCTTAGAAGGCGCCGGCCCTGCGTCTACAGACGAGGACCGCACCTTCTGAGAAGCAGGGTGCTTCCAAGAAACCTTCCCCCCTCCCCTTGCCCCCCCCCCTGCGCGTGGCCAGGGTGGGCCGGCTGGGCCCCGGAAGCGGCAGGGCTGTTTTCTTCACCGTTTCCGAAAGTGTCCCTTGAACATGGACACGGCAAAAAAAACGGCGACAAGAAACGGCAGCAAAAACGGTTCCAGGATCGGCACTGGAACGGGAGCCCGTAAAAGAACGGCGACGGAACCGGTAACAAAAACGGCGTCGGAACCGGCAAACAAATGGCAAAACGGACCCGCTGCAAGGGGGTGGTGCAATGGATTTGGGGCAATTGTATTGCAAATGTATTGCGCTGGAGAATTGTATTGCGTTGTACTGCAAGTAATGTATTGCACGCGAAAATCCACCAATATTGATACATACGTATATATATATATATATATATATATATATATATATATATATATATATATATATATATATATATGCGCCCCGGAATGTACTGCACTCCCCAAGTGTATTGCAACCCCATAAATCTATGGCACCAAATCCGCCGACCCCTTGGGTCATCGGCGTGTGAGATGCTTCCCCCTCCCCAAACCCCTCCCCCGGGAACCCGGTCCGGTCGATTTGGAGGGGGGGGGGGGGTGCCGACTACGAGCGACTCACGACGCTCTTCCGGGCCCAGAAGGGCCCAAATACGGGCCAAGAAGGCCCCAAGAGGCCTCCCAGACGTTCCAAGAGGCCCCCAGACGCCCCAAGAGACCGCCTAGACGCCTCAAGAAGCGCCCAAGAGGCCCCAAGAGGCTCCCAAGACGCCCCACGAGGGCTCCAAGACGCCCGAAGAGACCTCCAAGACGCCCCAAGAGACCTCCAAGAGGCCCCCGAAGAGCGCCCCAAGAGGCCAAAATCGTTGATTTTCCTTGTTTTTTTTATGTGTTCGTCATTTTCGCCTTTTCGGCCTTCCGACGCTCCAAGACAGCCCAAGAAGCTCCCAAGACTGCTCCAAGACGGCACAAGAGGCCTCCACGACGCCCCCAAGACGGTCCAAGAGAGCCCCCAGACGGCCCAAAAGCCGCCCAAGGCGGCCCAAGAGAGCCCCCAGACGGCCCAAGAGCCGCCCAAGACGGCCCAAGAACCTCCCGGAGACGGGCCCAATAGGGGCTCCAGAGAGAGACCACGCACCGGAAAACCCAGCCTTACGCCCCAAGAGGCCCCCAGGAGGCCCCAAGAGGCCCCAAAGAGGCCCCAAGAACCCCCCAAAAGGCCCCCCAGACGTTCCAAGAGGCGCCCAAGAAGCCACCAAGAGGCCCCAAAACGGCCCCCAAGAGCCTTCGAAACTGCTCCAAGAGGCCCGCAAGAAGCCCCCCCGCAAGATCCCATCGGACATCTCCGAACACACCAATTTTTCGAGTCGCGCCCAGCCCCATAACCCGGAGCCTCATCTCAGTGTCCCCCTCCTCCTCCTCTTCCTCCTCCTCCTACACTTCCTCCTCGCTCCCCTCCTCCTCTTCCTGCCCCGCTTCAGCTCATCCTCACCGATGCTTCTCCCCCATGTTCTGCCTCGCCCCCATCCTCCTCTTCCCGTCTTCCCTGTTCTGCCCAGTACGCGCAACCGATTGGGCATCATTTGCACGTCTTGCACTTTAGGGTGCCCTTCTTTGCGTCGCGCGGGACATTGTGCGGGTCGGGGAACGCCGACTTTGGTAGTCCTCTCTTGCACGCGCCGCTGCACCGATAAGCCTGGCAACTGCGCGCTGTGAGCCCGAGTTCCTCGCAGCTTCTGCACACCACTTTAGCTCCTTTCGCCGCTCGATGATGTTCCACTTGCTTCTGCTTCAAATGTTTCGTGTCCGAGAACGCGCCTTTGCACGCCGCGCACGTCAGCGGCTTCGCGTCCGCCTCTGCTTTCCGCTTGCGATTCTCTGCATCCGCCTTCTCGTTCCGCCCACCCTTCTCGTTGCGGGCGCACGCCCTGCAAAACCTCTCCCCCGCATCTTTCGAGTCGCACTGGTTCGCCGCCACTTCCGCCTCCGTCGTCCGAGATTGCCTCCAACAAAAACAAGGGGTCGGCGGTGTGGCGTAAGCCTACAGAATCTATTGCACCACCCCCTTGTCGCTGGACCCCTTTTTGGGGTCAACCCGAACTAAGGTCGGCGGTGGACAAGCCTCCCTTCCATAAACCTCCCCTTAGTGAAAACGACCCACGGCCGAAATCGACGGACCTGGACCCGCAAACATGACGGCCGCGACGCCCACTCGCGAACCCAAAACGACCAATTCCCTGATCGACGTGTCAGGGTAGGAGGTCTGTCCACCTGACCAGGGAGCCCACAAAGGACGCGCGTGATACGAACTTTCGGGCGACGCGTACCCTCGAAACCAGCGTGCATTCAACGTCCTTCGTTCGCTCCTGACTGATAAGGGCCGGCCCCCCAGCGGTGGCACGCCCGGGCGCCGCCCCGTGCCATGGCGACGACCGAGGGCGCCGCCGCCCAGGCGCCGCCCCCCTCTTCGGCGACCCCGCAGGGTGTGGCTTGCAGAGGGCGTGGTCTGCCACCGGGGCACGCCGGGGGGGCACTCCGGGCAGGTCGGGCCGGGCGAAAGGGGGGGATAGCTTAAAGGGGGGGTTTGAGACTCAGCTCACGTCGCTGATTTTGCTGGCGCCTCCCGGCGCCGGAGGCGGCCACGTGTATCGAGGAGTGGGCCCCTCGGCGGGGCCGAGACCAGCTGCACGCAGCAGGTGTCGTAACCCCCCCTTTCCCATGAATCCCCCCCTCTCGTCCGGCCCGACACTCCGGGGGGCGGGCGGGCAGCTCGACACAGCTCTCCGCCGCGCCCCGAACGGGCACGGCCCAGAAGACCCCCCAGAAGGCCGGGGGGGAACCTCCTCCTCCTCCTCCTGGATCCTCCTCCTCCTCGGGCCTTCCGAGGAGGCCCGCGCCCCCTGTCGCCGCCCCCCCCCCCCCCCGGGGGCTCGCCGCCAGGCTGTGGCGGGCCTGGTGGCGGGCACGCCGTGCGACGGGGGGCCCTCCGGGGGGGGCGGATGGGGATCTCGGCACGGACAGCGTCGTGGCCCCCAGGCCCGCACGGCGCCGACGACAAGCCACACCAAAGGCGTGGCCGTGCCCTTGGCGGTCGCCAGCCCCTGCGCCTGGGCAGTCCGTGGCGGTGGTCCATGCTCCTCCTCCGAGATACCCAGAGCAACGCTGGTCAGAAGGACCACCGCGAAGACGGGGTCCACCGCGAAGATCGGGTACAGCATGCAGTAGTGCGTGCAGTAGGCGGCGAGCGCCAAGAGCGCGGCCAATGCCAGGCACCACCAGTAGACGCTTAAGAACAGCCCGATGGCTGCAATAAGCCCAGACCTCCGAAGTCGAGCTTCTGTCAAGACGTGATCCGAGGAACTCTCGACCGCCGACGCCATCCCCAGGACCACTTTCGCGGCGGCGACTGTTTTTGACGATCTCCAATTTCTATCGGGGAGACGTAAAACTCGGGTTAGGGGGACTCGGGTTGGCCCGACGGGGCCATCATGAGAATGACGAGACCCGGTCTGAAAGTTAACCGTGAGTTCCCGCTGCACACATCCAACGAAAAATCGAGCGTCAACATCCACGACGCGCTCGTCAGTTTGGATGCCCGAAATGGGTACAGACAACATGGGTATGCCTAACAACAAATGCTGTTCCTAACTGACAGCGGCCGATGTTGGGCAGGCGGCCTTCTGTCTCAAATCGATAACGACCGCGGCGACGCCGACAATGAACCTTGTTCAGAATGAACAGGAACATGTGTTGGACTTTGTGCCCACTGTTACCGTACCAATTTCGTTCGTGCCGAATCAAAGAGCGCCGGCAAACCCAACTTCAGCATACTCGAGTCTTACGTTTAGGTCGGGCATGTCCCCATGCAGGCGGATTTTGGGGGAAAAATAGGAAATACCCCAAACAGATCCCAATAATGTTGAAACAAATGCGAAAATCGTCCCAAACCTATGTTTTGACTATTTCTGGATTTTCCCTCTGTAGAGTTATGTCGGGCCTGTCCCCCTACAAGGGGATTTTCGACGAAAAATAAAAACTAGCCTGACGAAGGACCCAACCATGTGCAGTTGCGAGTACCGCATTGTGGGTACCGGTTTCGGTGGAGCTCCTATGGGGCCACGAAACTTGTGAAGGGTGCGCCGAAATTGGTGGCGCGGACGCATGTGGACACCGCCACTGGGGCCTTCGGTGTAGCACACTATGGGGCCACGAAACGCTGCCCTGGGCGAGGGAGACGCATGCGAACTGCGCCATTGGGACCTTCGCTGGAGCTCCTTATGGGGCCACGAAGCGCTGCCATGGGTGGGGGAGACGCATGCGAACTGCGCCTCTGGCGCCTTCGGTGGAGCTCCCTATGGGGCCACGACACGCTGTCCTGGCTGGGAGAGAAGCATGCGAACACCCCGATTGAGGCCTTCGGTGGAGCTCCCTATGGGGCCACGAAGCGCTGTCCTGGACAGGGGAGACGCATGCGAACACCCCCACTGGGGCCTTCGGTGGAGCTCCCTATGGGGCCACGAAACGCTGCCCTGGGTGGGGGAACCGCATGCGCCCACCCCCACTGGGCCTTCGGTGGAGCTCCCTATGGGGCCACGAAGCGCTGCCCTGGGTGGGGGAACCGCATGCGCCCACCCCCACTGGGGCCTTCGGTGGAGCTCCCTATGGGGCCAGCATGCGCCCACCCCCACTGGGGCCTTCGGTGGAGCTCCCTATGGGGCCACGAAACGCTGCCCTGTGTGGGGGAGACGCATGCGCCCACCCCCACTGGGGCCTTCGCTGGAGCTCCCTATGGGGCCACGAAACGCTGCCCTGGGTGGGGGAACCGCATGCGGGCCACGAAACGCTGCCCTGGGTGGGGGAACCGCATGCGCCCACCCCCACTTGGGCCTTCGGTGGAGCTCCCTATGGGGCCACGAAGCGCTGCCCTGGGTGGGGGAACCGCATGCGCCCCCCCCCACTGGGACCTTCGGTGGAGCTCCCTATGGGGCTACGAAACGTGTGAGAGGTGTGCCGGGAGCAGAAGCAAGGAGGGGGAGGAGGCAGGAGGAGGAAGGGAGGAAGGAGGAAGGAAGGAGGAACGCGGGGCACCGTCTTTTCAAAACGAGGACCCAACACCACAGGATGGTTGGGAAATATCCCCAAAGTACTCAACAAATAATCCAAAAATAGTCTGGGGACTACGTTTGAATAGTTTTTGACCTTCTTGGCACATTTTTGGGGCATGTTTTATTTCTCGTCGAAAATTCCCCTGTAGGGGGGACACCGCCCGACACAACTGAAGAGGGACACGCCCGAGTTAACGAAATCGCTCAAACACGACACTCGCCATCGCTCGGACGTCCATTTCCTGTGCTTTTGTCGGTCTCGCGCGTGGCTTTTTCACGAAATGATCGAGGATGCTCCTCGATGGTCCTCGCCGAAGGAAAAATGCACACGCCCGAGCGAGGCCAGGCACATGGGACGAGCCCTGCCCCCAGCAGTCCCTGAGGAGGAGGAGGAGGAGGAGGAGGAGGAGGAGGAGGAGGAGGAGGAGGAGGAGGAGGAGGAGGAGGAGGAGGAGAGGGGGGGGGGGGGAGGAGGAGGAGAAGGAGGAGGGAGAGGAGGAGAAGGGAGCAGGAGGAGAAGGGAGGGCTCCTGGGCGTGAGGCTGCGGCCCTCCGCCGGCCGCCGGGGGGCGACCCTGGGCTCCCTGTGGAACCCTCCGGGGCATCGCTCGGACGTCCCTTCCCTGTGTTTGTTTCGGTGCCGTGCGTGGCTTTCTCACCAAATGATCAAGGACGCTCCTCGAGGATCCTCGCCGAAGGAAAAAAATGCACACGTCCGAGCGATGCCCAGGGAACCCTCTCGACGCGCGACGACCGGCGGAAGACGCCCCTCGGGGACCGAGCAATGACGTCAACGGGAGAACTCGGACTCCCCCGCTGTCGTGATGCTGCTGTCATTGCTCGTTCCCCGGACCCTGGGGCCGGCCCCTCCCCCCCGAACAGCGTGGGACGCCCGAGACCAAGGGCTCCTAAGTTCGCGCTTCGCGCTGCGCGAAGCGCGAAGCGCGAATAACTTCGCCCTCTCGCGCCGCCCCCCAAGGGGGAGAAGAGGAGGACGAGGAGGAGGGGGAGGAGGAAGGAGGACCGCGAAGCGCGAAGCGCGAATAACTTCGCGCCCTCCTGGGAGCCCTTGGAGACCTTGGGGCAGTAAGAGTCGCGCTGGGCGCCCCGTGCGGTGCACTTTGCGCGCCCGTTTCGCGCTCTCGAGCGGCCCAGCAGAGAAGACCAAGTCTCCAGCGCGGTCCGCGACGTTGAAGGGGCCCAAAGATATACATACATACATACATACATACATACATACATATATATGTATGAATAAAAACACACACATCCCAGGAGTCCCAACGTAGTGTTGGGGATGTTTGTTTTCCCCTCCTCTTCCCGCACCGTCCAATATTTTCATGGGAACCGGCGTCGAGATGTGTCTGCCGATTCTTCCATCCTGAGACGTGCGAAATGGGAGGGGCTCGATGCATACATCACGTCGCCTGGTCGGCAGAGGAACTCGGTGCATCGACGTCGCAGCGTCCCGAAGGTGGGAAGCAGGAATCTCGATACGCCGAATCCCGTCGCCGAAGCCGTCGGCTCCGGGGCCGACTGCATCGAGCCTTAGGTCGGGCATGTCCCCCTACAGTCCGATTTTGGACGACAAATCCAAAATGCCCCCAACATGCGCAAAAGTGGTAACAAAGAAATAATACTCGAAACATCGTCCCCAGACAATTTTTTAAACAATTTTCGAAGACTCCTCCTGTACAGGGACAGGCCCGACTTAAATCGAGCCCCGCCTGCGAGGCGCGGATGTATCCAGATCCACCGCCTCGGAACCGACGTCCTGGTGCCCCAGCGGTCGGTGGATATGGACATGTTTCGGCCCCCGGGGGCCTGAAAGTGTCCATATCCACCGCCTGCCGAGGCTCCGAAAACTGACCCTCCAGGCGCCCCGCGACCGCCCGCGCACGCCCCCCCCCCAGGGGGGCGGGGGAGGACTCGACTGCGCAGCGCCCGAGCGCCTCCCGCCCTCGCCCCCATGCCCCCTCCCGGGGGAGGGAGGGAAGTGGTGGGCCTGTTTTTCCACCACCACCACCACCACCAGAAGTTGGAGGGGGAGGGGGTCCCCCTCCTCCTCCTCCTCCTCCTCCTCCTCCTCCTCCTCCTCCTCCTCTCCTCCTCCTCCTCCTCCTCCTCCTCTCCTCCTCCTCCTCCACTTCCTCCTCCTCCTCCTCCTCCTCCTCCACTCCTCCTCCTTCCTCCTCCTCCTCCTCCTCCTCCTCCTCTTCCACTTCCTCCTCCTCTTCCTCCTCCTCCTCCTCCTTCCTCCTCCACTTCCTCCTCCTCCTCCTCCTCCTCCTCCTCCTCCTCCTCCTCCTCGAATAAGTTCCCGCCTCGGACCGCCGAGCGACGCCTGGAGGTCTGGAATCAGCGAGGCGGCCGCCGGCCCGGCGAGTGCGCAGGCCACCGCCGCCCCCGCGCCGGCCAGCGCCATCCGCGCGGAGGCGCGCAGCAGCTGCCGCGAGGGGCTCCGCTGCGCCGGCAGCCCGCGCAGCGCCTCCGTCGACGGGGGTGCGGCGACGACGCGCGGCGGCGGCGGCGACGGCGGCGGCGGCGAGGAGAAAGGGCCCTGGGACACCCAACTCGATACACACACACACACACACACGCCAACGCACACACACACACACACACACACGCCAACGCACACACACACACACACGCACACACACACGCACAACACACCACACCACACCACACCACACCACACCACACCACACCACACCACACCACACACACTCACACACACACACACCACACCACACCACACCACACCACAACACAACACAACACAACACAACACAACACAACACAACACAACACAACACAACACAACACAACACACACACACAACACACACACACACACGCCAACGCACACACACACACACACACACGCCAACGCACACACACACACACACACGCACACGCACACGCACACGCACACGCACACGCACACGCACACACGCACACGCACACGCACACGCACACGCACACGCACACGCACAAGCACACACACACACACACGAGGACGACGACGACGAGGACGACGACGACGGCGCCGGCAGCCGGCAGCCGAGTGCCGTCTGCCAGGGGCGCCGACGGCCCTAGAGTCCACGGCAGGCCTCCTGAGAGCCAGCCTCCTCCTCCGCCTCCTCCACCTCCTCCTCCTCCCTCCTTCTCCTCCTCCTCCCCCTCCTCCCTCCTCCTTCCTCCTTCCTCCTTCCTTCTCCTCCGTCCTCCTTCCTCCTCCCTCCTCTTCCTCCTCCCCAGGCCCGAAGAGGCCCGAGCCCCTGTTTCCCATGCCCGGCGGTGGCGGCGCTGTGGCGACGGCGGCGGCGGCGGCGGCGAGGGGCGGCGCAGCCCGCGGCGGCGAGCGGCGACGTCGCGGCGTCGTCGCCTCCGTCGTCGAGCTCGGCGTCGGTGCTGGCGTCAGCGTCGTCGGCGTCGTCGCCCGCTGTCGTCGTCGGTCACCCGTCGTCTGTCGTCGTCCAGCGTCGAGGCTCTCGTGAACGCTTCGGGGCAGTTTCGGGTTTCGGTCGATCCTCGGCGGCGGCGGAAAGCAAAAGCAGCCGACACCGGCGGAGCAGGCAAGGCAGCGGCTCGCTAGTGCGTCTGACGCAAGCGGCGACGTCCGTGCGGTCGTCGTCAACGTCGGGGGTCGAGAAAACGATATGTTTGGATGTGTTTTTGTGGCCAGGGCAAGGACAGACTGTAGCAAGTCCATGCCGTGACAACGTCGGCCCTGGTTTCTGACAACGCGCGAACACTTCAATCTTGAACGATATACGCTCTCGAAAGTTCCACCAGCCCTCTGGGCGCAGGTGGTCGGTCTAACAATGTCTTTCTTTCCTCTTCCAGAAACCCCTCTTCCCCTTCGGGGATGGTTTTACCCCATCCCCCTACCCCCTCCCCTTGACATGGACGGGGCGCCCCGCGAGGTGGCAGAGGGCCCTTTTTCGCTCAAGATGGCTCCAAGAGGGCCTTCAATGCACCAACATGGCCTCCAAGATTATTCAAGATAGGGCAACATGGTTCAGGATAGCTAGCGACATGCCTCCAAGAGGCCCCCAGAGGGCCACAAGACGGTTCCAAGTGCTCTCGGAGACCCCTCAGGACCCCCCAGAAGCCCCAAATCCTTTAAATTCCGGAAGAAACTCATTGATGCTTGCCTTCTCGCCTTTTCGCTTTCGATGCGCTTCTGAGGCCTCACGTTGGCCCAAAGATTGCCCAAGAAGGCCCCAAAAGGCATCCAAATCGGCCCCAAGAGCGCCCAAGAGAGCTCCAAGAGGCCCGCAAGAGCGCCCCAAGAGACAGTTTTGACGGCCCCAAGGGGGGGACCAACATAAAAGGAACCCCATATATTTTGACAGATGGACTGCAAGATGGGCCCAAGAGGCTCTCCAGGACTCCCAAGAGGGCCCCAAGAGAGCGCCAAAACGCTCCAACATATCCCTTAGAGGACCGCACGACCCCTCAAAGAGCCTGAATAGAGCCCCAAGACGCCCCAAAACATCCCCCCCAGAGGAGCCCAGGACCCTTACCCCCAGCGATTCCTCCTCCTCCTCCTCCCCCTCCTCCTCTTCCTCCTCCTCCTCCTCCTCCTCCTCCTCCTCCTCCTCCTCTTGCTCCTCCTCCTCCTCCTCGTCATCTTCCTCCCGTCGCCCTCACAGGGGTTCCAGAGATCCCATACGTCTGTCAGTTTACCCTCTGGTTGCCCGCTCCGTTTCACTATATGCGTGTCTTCCTCCCGTTTCCCATCGGCTCTCATGGGCAGCAGTTCTTCGTCCTCCTCCTCCTCCTTCTCCTCCTCCTCCCCCTCCTCCTCCTCCTCCACCACCACCTCGTCCTCCTCGTCCCCCACTTTGTCTTAGAGAATCCCAAGAGGGTCCTGGAAGCGCCCCGGGGGGCGCCAGGCGCCCAAAAAGAGCCCCAAGATGACCCCACGACCCCTCGAGGAACCCCAAGAGGGCCCCAAAATGCCCCAAACGACCACCCCCACGAGGATTTCAAGACCCCCGCCCGAACAAAAAGGCTCATCCTCTTCCTCCTCCTCCTCCTCCTCCTCCTCCTCCTTCCCCTCCTCCCCCTCCCCCTACTCCTCGTCTTCCTACTCCTCCCGTCGCCCCCACGACGGGCTCCACAGATGCCCGAAGGGGCCCTCCAGTGCCACCGTTGTTTCCAAGAGATCTCTCAATGTACCCTCCAGTTGCGCGGCCCCCACCCTCCCGCTCCCTCGCCCCAGCGCGGCCCCCAATGATAGCCCGGAAAAGGCCTTCCAAAGCCACCCCCTTGCTCCCAGAGATATCTCAATTCACCCTGGTTGCTCGCTTTGTTACCCTAGATGTGTTTCGTCGTCTTTTTCCCCGTCAGCTCCCATGGGCAGGGCTTCTGAACGGGCTAGTGGGGATTTGTTTTGGTCACCGGGTTCGCGAGGCGGGTCGAAAACCGTCCGAACACTAGTCGGGCCGCGTCTCGGCTGCGGGAAAAAGAAAAGCAAGCGAAGACAATCCCGGTGGCGACCAGCAAGTGGGCGAAACCGAAGTGGCGTGGCGGCGCGACCAGAAACACGCAGAGGTCGATCGCTCGGTGTGAGTCAAGCAAACAGCACCGTCAGAGACGAACTAGACCGACAAGCACTCCCAGACGACATCCGTGAAGCAGGCGACACAAATGCCAAAACATCGCGTCGGCGCAAGAGTGAAGAGTGGCAACCTCATCACCGACAAGACTGCAAATGGCAGTAACACCTGTAACACTTGTCGAAAGCGAAGTCCATGCATGAGAACGTCGGCCAACGAGCGTACAGGGCCACACTTGCCGAACCCGACGTCCAGGTACTCAAGGTAGGCAGTGTAGCAAGAGACCCGCTGGAACCTTCTGGTCACCAGTAGGGGCCGACACCAGCCAGGAGCAGGCCAGGGGGCAACTGACCTCAGCGAGTGCGGCGCAGCACCGTTCCCTGTGTAAGACCTTGCATGAATTCTTGACCTCCTGAAAGCCATCCGGAAGCAATATTGGGCAGCAGACCCCAGCCGCCAAGGAAGAACCCTGTGAAACAGGAGGGAGAGCACCCCGTTGCAACATCTGGCCGCTGTGGCATAAGGATGTAGGAGGAGAGGGGGAGAAGTGCATGCCAGGCACGGTAGGCACCCCAGTGCGACAGCTAACCGCTGCAGCATTGAGATGCAGGAGGGGAAGGAAGGAAGTGCACGCCAGGCGCACGGTGTGGGTGCAACAGCTAACCGCCGTGGCATAAGGATGCAGGAGAAGAGGAGGGGACGCGCACGCCATGCATGGTAGGCAACCCGGTGTGGCAGCGAACCGCTGCAGCATTAGTACGCAGGAGGGAAGGGAAAGAAGGGCACGCCAGGAACACGGTGTGAGAGAAGGGGGGAAGAAACATAGACTCGAGCAGTTGATGCTGATAGGGACAATCACGCTGGGCTACCTGGTGTGATGTAAAAAACCGCATCTCAGCGAACCTGGGTGGCGCCCCCCACAGTCGGTGCTACTGTAAAACATCGACCCCGCAGCCCCAAACTGCGTCACTCGCTGCCCCACACCATGGGTGGTGCCCCCGCAGGAGGAGGAGAGCTTACCACGTACACCGACGCGCACGCCAGGCGCTCTGATTCTCTGGTAGGGTGCTGACGGCTCGCAGACGCCGTCACAACGGGGGCGGAGGCAGACGGCCGCGCCTTCGACGTCAAGGGCCCGACCTCGCCCGAGAGCGCTCCCACCTTACAGCGAGCGGCCAGCGTTGGCGCCCACGAGATCCCGACCATCTCGCGGGGGTGCCTGGCACCCCCTGTTCGCGCCGACGTGGTGGCCCAGGTGTTGTCCACGCGCCTGCGCCCAGTCGATACCGAGGCCCAGTGAGTCGCTCATGGCCCGAGCATCGGAACTGTGGCTGTGAAATGGGGTCAGGAAGGCGACGCAGGTTCGCTGGTCGTGCCGACGCGGGTCGAACGCGCGCGCAGTGCCAGGGGCAGCGTGTTGCTTGGCAAAGGCGTGCCAGACGGCTGCGAACGACGCACGCAGGGTGACCTGAAGGTGCCTGATCGTTTCGGTTGGTGACTCTCCGTGGGGTTCCCACTGGGAGTCGTGGACCCAGGCTTTATAGAGCGGCCTTCCAGTGTGGGAGCCCCGTGGTCCTGGATTCTGGCGATCGGCGAACAGCCTGGGCATCCACCCGTCCGACGCGTCGAGGATGCCTCCCGATTGGGCTGCCGGCCCGTCTCGGCGGTCGAGCTCCCATCCCCGCCCGAGAGAGTGGGGACTGGCGAGCCTTGCAGAGATGCAGGGACATCCGTCCGCATCGAGCCGCTGGCAGGGGAGGGAGGCCGAATGGGGGCGTAAGGGCTCCTCGAAACCAGCTGAAGGATGGCTTCGTTGTCCCGCTCGTCAGGGGTAGGCTGACGCGTGGGCGCGGTGGAACTTCCCAATGTCGTCTGGAGGGTGGCTTCACTGTCGGGCGGGCCGCCGGGTTGGCCGTCGGGCCGGCCGAGGAGCTGACCGTGGGATGGGGCGTCGGGCAAGGCCTCAGGTAGAGTGTCAGGTTGGGCGTCGGGAGCGGTGTCGGGTGAGGCGTCAAACTGGTCGTGGGGCAGGTCGTGCAGCTGGCCATGGGACTGGCCTTGGGCTGGCTGTCGGGCTGGCCGTCGGGCAGGCCTTTGCGTTGGCGGTCGGGCTGGCCGTCGGACTGGTCGTGGGGCAGGCAGTCGGGCTGGCTGGGGGGCTGTCGGTCGGGCTGGCTGTGGGGCTGTCCGTGAGGCTTGTCGTGGGGTTGAAAGTCGGGCTGGCCGTGGGACTGGCCGTAGGCCTGGTCGTGGGGGAGGCCGTGGGGCTGGTCGTGGGGCTGGAAGTCGGGCTGGCCGTGGGGCCGGCCGTGGGGCTGGCTGTGGGGCTGGCCGTGGGGCTGGCCGTGGGGCTGCCCGCGGGGCGGGCCAACGGGCTGGCCACGGGGCGGGCCAACGGGCGGGCCGTCAAGCGGGCCGTGGGGCTGACAGCCAGCCAGGCAGTGGGGCTGGCAGTCGGGCTGACCGCGGGGCTGGTCGCCAAGCTGGCCTTGGGGCTGGCCGTCGGACTGTGGCAGTCGGGCCGGCCGTGGGGCTGGCAATCGGGCTGCCAGTCGTGTTGGCCGTGGGGCTGGCCGTGGGGCTGGCAGTCCGCAAGGCTGGCCGCGGGGCTGGCAGTCGGGCTGGCCGTGGGGTGGGCTGTCGGGCTGGCCGTGGGGCCGGCCGTGGGACTGGCCGTGGGGCTGGCAGTCGGGATGGCCGTGGGGCCGGCAGTCGGGCTGGCCGCGGGGCTAGTCGCCAGGCTGGCCGTGGGGCAGTGGCGGTTGGGCTTGCCGTCGGACCGGCCGTGGGGCTGGCAATTGGCCTGGTCGTGGGGCTGGCAGTCGGGCTGGCCGTCGGGCTGACCGCGGGGCTGCCAGTCGGATTGGCCGCGGGGCTTCGGGCTGGTCGTGGGGCAGGCCGTGGGGCTGGCAGTCGGGCTGGCCGTCGGGCTGGCCACGGGGCTGGCCGTCGGGCTGGCCGCCCGGCTGGCCGCGGGGCTGGCCGGGCTGGCCGTAAGACCGGCCGCGGGGCTGGCAGTCGGGCTGGCCGTGGTGCCGGCAGTCGGGCTGGCCGTCGGGCCGGCCGTGAGGCTGGCAGTCGGGTTGGCCGTGGGGCTGGCCGTGGCGCTCGCAGCCGGGCTGGCAGTGGGGCTGCCAGTCGTGTTGGCCGTGGGGCTAGCCGTGGGGCTGGCAGTCGGGCCGTCGGGATTGTCGTGGGGCAGGCCGCGGGGCTGGCAGCCAGGCTGGCCACGGGGCCGCCAGGCTGGCCAGGCTGGCCGTGGGACTGGGCGGGCCGTCGGGCTGGCCGTGGGGGGGCTGGCCGCAGCGCGGGCCGTTGGGGCCGGCTGTGGGGCAGGCAGTCAGGTTGGCCACGGGGCGGGCCAACGGGCTGGCCGTCCAGCGAGCCGAGGAGCTGGCAGCCGGGCAGGCCGTGGGGCTGGCAGTCGGGCAGCACGGGGAGCTGGCCGCCAGGCTGGCCGCGGGGCTGGCCGTGGGGCTGGCGGTCGGGCTGGCTGGGGGGCGGGCCGTCAGGCTGACCGCGGGGCGGGCCGAGGGGCGGGCCGCGAGCCGCAGCGGCGGCGCCGGCCACCGCGCCAACCGCCGCCGCCGCTGCCAGCGAGGAGCCGGCAACGGCGGCGGCAGCGGCAGCAGCAGCGGCCGCCGCGAAAGCGGCCGAAACGCAGGTCACGGCGCCGCCTCCGGCCGCCGCCGCCGGAGGGTAAGCGGTGGCGGCGGCAGCAGCGATGGCGGCGGCCCGCGGCCGCCAGCGCCGCGGCCGCCGCGAAAGCGGCCGTGACGCCGGCCACGGCGTCGCCGGCCGCCGCGGGCGGCGCGGCAGCAGCGGCGGCGGCGGCGGGCGGCGGCGGCGGCGTCGGCAGCGGCAGCGGCGGGGCAAGCGGCGACCGCGGCGCCACTAGCGCCGGCGGCGCAGGCGTCGCCCGCGGGGGCCGAGCTGGGGCGGCCGCCGGCCGCCTCCGACGGCGGCGGCGGCGGCGGCGAAGGCGACGGCGGCGGAGGGCCGCCAAACCCCGGCGGGGCGTCCCGCCGCGCCGCCACCAGCCGCTCACGGCGGCGCACCACGGCCCCGGAGAGGGCCGCCCAGGGGGCGGACCTGGCCCCGGCGGGAGCGCGCACCTGCCTGAGCGAGGGGCGGGCTTGAGCCGAGACGGCTCGAGCCAGAGGCTTGAGCCAAGGGGGGCTACGGTCGCTGGTGGGGATGGTTTTTTCCGGTCGCGTCCACCAGCGAAGGCGCTAGCGGAGTCAGGAGCGCTACGGGGCACGAGAGCGGCCTAAATAGCTACTAAACGCGCCGCAGGTCGGCCGGCCCACTCACCAAGCAGCGGCTGACTGCGCGGGGGAGACGGCGAGCTGAGGGCGTCCAGGGAAGCTCGGACTGGTGGGGATAGGCGAAGCGTGAAGAATTCTCTGTAGCTGTCGGCTCTTCCTTTGGTATGGACTTAGCGCCCTGGGCCCCTTTCTATCGATATGGGCGCCGAGCCCCAAATTGCAACCTGAAGGGCATTCGATCTGCATCGTTGGCACCGCCGTCGCGAACACGTCCAATCGGCTCGACCGTGAACCATCCGCGCTCTCACTGCATCGCTGAGGGCCTGGGCCTCTGTGGGGCGCTTCCCTATTATTTCCCGGTGCCCGCCGCCACTTGGCATGAGGGAGGGATCCCATCATGATCGGGGAAGAGGGGTCCTGGACGGGGCTTCCCCTCCAAGACCAGCCTGGCATCCCGCGTCGTTTCTGCGGGTCCCTGGGCCTAGGAAGAGTCAAGGGGGCCTGAAAAAGGCGGAACACCTCCGTGGTTGTGTCCTCCAGGACACCTTATCTTCACGCTGACCCCACGCCTGTGCGCAAGGACAACGACGGCAACGACGAGGACAACGACGGCAACGACGAGGACGGCGATACGGCGGCGAGAGCGACGACGACGTGGACGAGAACGACGAAGACGACGGCGGCGAGAACGACGACGACGACGACGACGGCAAAAACGACCACGACGACGACGGCGACGGCGATGGCTGCGGCGGCGGCGGCGGCGGCGACGAACACGACGTCGACGCGCGCCGCGGCGCCTCCGCCAGCTCCCGGTCCCGGAGCTCCAGCGCCCCCAGGAAGAGCGGGCCGCAGAGCCCCGGCAGCAGGCTCTGGCGCGCGCACCGCCGCGGCCGCCGCGGCCGGCGTCGCCGCCGGTGCCGTCACCCGGCGGCCGAGGCGTAGTCGCCGCCAGTCTCAAGTCGGGCCTGTCCCCCTACAGGGGGATATTCGACGGAAAACCAAAAATACACCAAAACTAATCAACAAATAATGCAAAAATGGCCTCGGGACTATGTTTGGGGTATTTGTTTTTGCCTTTTTGGTTTTTTATCTTCCGTCGAAAATCCCCCTGTATGGGGACAGGCCCGACCTAACGCCAGTCGCCAGGGGGCCGCCTCGGCGTCGTCGTCGTCGCCGCCGTCCTGCCGCAGGCAGGCCATCCCCGAGGGGCCGTCGCGCGACGGCCGTGCTTTTTTTTTTCGGGGTGAGGGGCAGCAATGGGGGGACTGGTACAGGAGGAGGAGGAGGAGGAGGAGGAGAAGAAAGGAGGAGGAGGAGGATCGACTTGGAATCGGCGATCCATCGCCGATCCTGGCCAGAGAGGGCGATCGCGCCCCAGGCGACGACTCATGGACGATGGGGGGCCGCTGCGTCCCTGGGCCTATCCCCCCTCAGCTCTGCCACGGACCCGGGAGGGGGTCCACGTGTGCGTGCGGCAGAGGGGATCCTCGCCCTGCTGCTCAACTGGCAATCGCTCGGACGTCCATTTCCTGTTTTGCTCGGTTTCGTGCGTGGTTGTTTCGCCAAATGATCAGGGGTGCTCCTCGATGGTCCTCGCCGAAGGAAAATCCACACGTCCGAACGATGCCAAGTCAAGCCACGCCCGCGCCTGCTCGGGATACGCCACGTGACCTGTTGCACTGCCAAGCGCGATCACCGTTGCGCTGCCCAATTGCACGACCAGTGGCTGCACCACCACGACCCGTGGAAACGATGATCCTGCAGCCTTTTGTCCCGCGATGTACTGTCGATATGTCCAGCATGGGTAAGGGCAGTGAGTTGATGAAGGGAGAAAGCAAGAGCGGAGCCTTCTCTGCTTTACTGCAATGATCCTCCGATCAAGCAACCAGAGAAGATCCGCAGCAATATTACCGCCACGGTGCAGCGAGGCACCGAATGCAGTCGACAATCCTACATGTCCGTTCGAAGCGTTGCGATTGTATTGTATAGCAGCCGCAGCATCGCATTGCACTGAACTCGCAGCAATTATTTGCATGATTCTGCTTTTCGTCGTATGCTTCGCACCGCTTTGCATCGCTTTGCATCGCCTTGAATTGCTTTGCATTGCGTTGTGTTGTGTTGCATTGCTTTGAATTGCTGTGCATTGTGTTGCATTGCTTTGCGTGGCGTTGCATTGAACGGCATTCCGTTGCATTGCTTACCCTGGAGACTCCGCAGCCTACACAGCTGCCCTCCGTGGCCTCAAATGACGTCTCAAGACGGTTCCAAATGGCGACACGATTGACCCAAGACGCCTACGATGGCTCCAAGACGCCATCGAGAATCCCCAAGAGCCTTCCCAAGAGGGTCCCGAAAGGAAAACATCAATGGTTGTCCTTGGGATTTTCACTGTTTCTGCGGTCTACGGGCCCAAAACAATCCAAGAGGCCCCCACGAGGGCCCCAGGACGGCCCAAGAGGGTCCCAGCACGGCCCAAAGAGGGGCCCAAGACGGCCCAATATCGCCCCAAGAAGGCCCCACGAGAGACAGGGGCAGGGGGCGGCGGTGACTCCGCGTAGACGTTTTTGACAAGAATACCTGCACTCCACCACTGGTCCACTGGACCAAATGTTGGAGCTGCCGACGCGACGGGACGCACTTCTCTCAGCCTGCTGGCCAACAAGCCTGCGGCCGCTAGTCGCTGCCGCTGCCCGCTCATACGCAGAGGAGATCAACCGCTCAGGATCGGGAGCGGCCAAGAGGGGAGTGTCCAAGAGGGGGGGGTGCAAATCATGACTGGCGGCATGTGCGCGGCCCAGCAGGGGGGCCAGGGACGTAATGAAATAAGAAGAGGCACCATGAGATCTGAGGATATATCATGGCCCCCGCCATGATATCCACCCCCCCCTAGTCATCACCCCCCTCTTTTTCGCTCCCGACAGGAGATAGACAGGCGGGCAGGGGCGAACCGCGACCCGGGGCAGAAGGCGCCCCCCCATGCACTTCGATCCTCGATCCTCCTCCATCGTCCTCGATCCTCGATCCTCCTCGATCCTCGCTCCTCCTCCTCCTCCTCCTGCTCCTCCTCCTCGATCCTCGATCCTCGGAAGTCACAGTGCTAGGCCGCCCTCACGCGAGGGAGAGACGCGCTCTTTTGCGCCCCCTCACGCGAGGGAGGTCGCGTGCTCCCGGAGCTTCTGCATGAGCATCGCCACGAAGGCGTCGTCGTCGGCCAGCGCGTGCAAGGCCGCGCGGACGGTCGCCGCCGTGACCTCCACCTGGTCGCCCCCGGGCTTGAGGCCCGAGTGCTGGTAGAGCAGGTCCGCCACGGCGTCGTCCCCCGGGGCGGGCTGCCGCCCCTGCGGCCCCGGCTGCGGCTCCGTCTGGGGCTCGGCGGCCTGCCCGCGCAGCTCCTCCAGCCGCGCCTCGATCTCGGCCTCCACCCGCTGGCGCTCGGCGTCCTCGTGGAACCAAAGCCCGCGGATCTTCTTCTGGCCGTCCTCCACCTTGCCCGCCACCGCGCTTCCAGCGGCTGTGGTGCGCGTATGTGTGTGTAGGTGTGTGTAGGTGTGTAGGTGTGTAGGTGTGTGTAGGTGTGTAGGTGTGTGTGTGTGCGTGTGTGTGTGCGTGTGTTTGTGTGCTTCTACGCCCTGTCGCTGCGCGCGCGGCCGCGGCGCCCAAAAGTGTGTGTGTGTGTGTGTGGTGTGTTTGTGTGCGCGCTGTACTCGCGGCTGCGAGACCCAAGCGGTCTTCGACGGCCCGAGCGCCTCTAGTCTGCGCGTGCGCCTCTTGCTTGCAGACCTCCTACGTCTACGCCCTGTCGCTGCGCGCAGGGCCGCCGCGCCAAACAAAAATGTGCGTGTGTGCGTGTGTCTGTGTGTGTGTGTGTCGCTGTGTCTGTGTGTGTGCGTCGGGTCCTTGCTTATTGTATCGGTTTCGCGCCCGGCGGAACCAGAGAGCGTTTATGTTTCACAATAACGGCCGCCACCGGACCCTAACGCCCCCCTACCCCAGGCAACGTCACGATTCGTGCTGACCTCCGAGCTGTCTCATTCCCAGGACGTTCCCACACGGCGCCAGCGGGACACGTGACATTACCAGCCCGCCCCTCCTCCCCCAATTCCAACGCCCGCCATCGCCAGGGAACTCATGCGCTCTCCAATAATGCACCCCTCCCCCTTCCCCCACACATCGAGCCCAACACGCGAGACACATGGTGTGCCAAATCCCTCCACTCTCGCCTCGCCAGCCAAGAAGTGCTGCCGACATGGAAAAAACAGACGAGAACTTCCGTGGAACCAGCCCCTCGTGGGCGCCGCGCCCCCCGCGGCTCCCCGAGAACCCCCCCCCCCCGCTCCAGCAGGCGGCGCGCCCGCCGGATCGCGGCGGCGGATTCGCGCGGCAGCGCAGCCTGATAGAAGACGTAGTGGTTCTGGCAGTCCAGCTCCCAGTCCTGGTGCAGGTCGTCGACCAAGTCGCTGGTACTGAACTGGTTCACCACCCTCAACTGGTACCTGGGCCCCACCTTTCGCCGCACGAGGAAGACCGGCCCCTCGATGTTCCCCTTTCGCCAGCCTGGGTTCGGTCCATCCTGATGGAGGAAGTAAACGACCACGAACTTCGAGAAGATGGTTCAGCGGAAGGATGGCGGCATACAATTGTGGATGCCACGGCAATGGACACCCTAACAGTCCTATCATTGGAGTAAAATTGTGTTGAACATATCGGAGACATGTCCTGAACGTGTTTTTCTTTCCACTTGGTGTTCTACAGGTTAAAAACACGTTCAACACATGCTGCAGACGTCTAGAAAGTATGTGGCAGCATGATTACTGTCCATTGACCGCCCCCCACAAAGCATGCACTGACGCGGTCTGCCGTGGTGGGCGCTCGCCCCCGAGCGGCTGGAACGCCCACGCCTCCACGTGCCGCGGGGCACGAGCGCTGCAGCCGCCGCGGGGGGCAGGCGCCCCCCCCGCTGCGGAGGGCGCCCCGCTCCGTGCCGCCCTCCGCCCGCCGCATGGTGACCTGCTCGATGTCGGGGTCCTGCTGCTGCAGGGACTTCAGCATGCTCGTCTGCCGCGAGGCCTCCACGTCCTTCTTTTTTTTCTTTTTTTTTTATTTTGCGAGGCCTCCACGTCCTTCATGTTGGCAGCCATCGCTCGCCGTCGGCCACGGCAGGCGGGCTCGCGCCAGCGCACCCACTGGTGGTCCAGCGGCGGAAAGCCCCCCCCCCCGGAGCCACAGCGGCTGCGGACCCTTGGGGGGGGGGGGCCTAGAAAGGGGCACCAGCACCAACACAGGGGGTTGCCTCCACATGGGGACGACGATCCTAGATTTCGGTGTTGGTGGCAGTATTTCGGTCACTCTGAAGCCAGAATGTTACCACCATCACCGAGATCGGGATCTTCTTACACCGCCGATTTTGGTGTTGGTGTCAATCTCTAGGCCTGCGATTGGGGGGGGGGGGCCAGGGAGGAACAGCAGCGGTCCCACGCCGCCACGCCGGCGCGCGCAGGGAGGCCCTCACCTCGAACGGCAATCACGAGCCCCCTCCCCGATCTGGCGCATCCAGCACCGAGCGGAGTGCTTCCCAGCGCCGTGCTATCCACTGTAGGTTACCTTACGCTCCCGGCAAACATGGAGTGAACACGCACGCGCTACTTTACAATCTGATTCCCATGCTTGCTCCGAAGAGTAATTGCCCTGTTCATCATGTGGTATTCTCACTATGTGTGTGCTCGTCGGATCAATTACTCCTGTCCCCGCCGTCTAGTGCCCTTCGGAATCGCGCGAGTTATTCGATTGTCTTATAATGGTATTGCGCATGGTGAATGTTGATTTGTGAGGCGGTCTGGAGGATTGCATTACTGAGTCGCATGTTCCTTAG